GCGTCGCTGGCTAGAGCTTCTAAAGGATTATGATTGTGTGATTGATTATCACCCTGGTAAAGCTAACATTGTAGCGGATGCTTTGAGTCGAAAGGCGGTATCGGAGTTGAGATCTTTAATGGCCAGGATGAATTTATATGACGATGGCACTTTGTTAGCAGAACTGCAAGTTAAGCCGACCTTGGTTGAAGAGATCAAGGCTAAGCAGCCCCTTGATAGCTTCTTGCTTTCCATCTTTGAGCAAGTAGAGCAGGGGACAAACTCAGATTATGCAATTAATCAGGATGAAGTTTTATGCTTTAAAGGTAGATATTGTGTGCCTGATGATGCTGAGTTGAGGCAGACTATCCTTACTGAGGCTCATAGTAGTCCATATGCTATGCACCCCGGAGGAGATAAGATGTACCGAAATTTGAGAGAGAGGTATCATTGGATTGGGATGAAGAAAGACATATCTGATTTTGTGGCTAGGTGTTTGACTTGTCAACAAGTTAAGGCAGAACATCAACATCCATCAGGTTTGTTACAGCCTATCAAGATTCCTGAATGGAAATGGGAGCATATTACTATGGATTTTGTTACTGGCTTGCCTATGACTCATTCGAAAAAAGATTCAGTTTGGGTGATTGTTGACAGACTTACAAAGGTAGCTCACTTCATTCATGTGCGAGTAAATTATACTTTGGACAAGCTGGCAAGATTTTATATTTCAGAGATTGTCAGATTGCATGGTGTTCCATTGTCTATTATTTCTGATCGAGATCCGAGATTTACTTCGAGATTTTGGAAGGCGTTACATACAACTTTGGGAATAAGATTGGATTATAGTACATCCTTTCATCCATAAACTGATGGTCAATCTGAGAGAGTAATTCAGATTCTGGAGGATATGTTGCGGGGTTGTGTAATCGATTTTCATGGTAGTTGGGAGAACTTTTTGCCTTTGGCTGAATTTGCTTACAATAACAGTTATCAGACCAGCATTCGTATGGCACCCTATGAAGCACTCTATGGGCGTAAATGTCGCACTCCGATCTGTTGGACTGAGTTGCGTGATAGGAAAACGTTGGGACCTGAGTTAGTGCGTGAGACGGAGGACACAGTCAGATTAATCCGTGACCGTCTGAAAGAGGCATTTGATAGGCAAAAATCTTATGCAGATCAAAGGAGGAAGGATATACAGTTTGAGGTTGGAGATCATGTCTTTTTGAAAGTTTCACCCTGGAAGAAAGTATTGAGATTCGGGCGTAAGGGTAAATTGAGTCCAAGATTTATTGGACCATTTCGTATCTTGAAGAGGGTAGGACCTGTTGCTTATCAGCTCGAGTTGCCTTCCCCTCTTAGTCGTATTCATGATGTTTTTCATGTGTCTATGTTAAGGCGATACCGTCCAGATCCAAGTCACATCATTCAGGTTGAGGAAGTAGAGCTGAGACATGATTTGTCATATGAGGAAGAGCCCATTCATATCTTAGAAAGAGATGAGAGAGTTCTTCGGAATACGCACATTCCAATGGTCAAAGTTCAATGGAGTAATCGAGGCCCCTCAGAAGCTACTTGGGAGACATTAGAGTCAATGGAGGCTCAGTTTCCTCAACTATTCTCATAAGGTAAATTTCGAGGACGAAATTTCTTGTAGAGGGGGAGAATTGTAACAACCCGAATATTTACAAAATAATATTTAATTGAAATTTGGTGTTAATTGTGAAAATTGGCAAAAATTGGGGACTAAATTGAAAGATTATAAAACTTGGAGTTTGTATTAAAGTTAAAGAAAATTCAGGGACCAAGCCCTGAATTTACCCAATAAAATTAGGTAGAAATGGATGTTATATGCGTGTATTTGGTTTCTGAAAACAGAAATCAAATGCTCCCAATTCCCTTCCCCTACGTCGGTTTCCGACCTCGATTCCGGCGCCGTCCGAATTCTGATCGTCGTTTTAAAACCACCGTTGTGTTCATCTTCAAGCGAGGAACAAACCCTTCAATTTAATTGAAGCGAAACGCTGCCAAACATCGGGAATTTACAGTCAAAGTCTCGACGTTATTTTTAGCTCCATCGCCGAGAAAATCTCAAATTCACCGCCGATCGTTGCTCTGTTTACGACACCTCCTGCACCATTGTGTTCCTTGTGCTGTTTCGAGTTCACTGGTGTCAACCTTGTTCGCCGTCGATGGCAGCGCGTGAGGAGGTGGAGCAGTCAAAGTTTCGGTCGAGTTGAAATCGAGCTCTCCGCCGTTCAAAAATTTGAACCGATTATTGTAAGTATCTCGAAATCGCTCAAAATAATTTTTAGGAATTTTTCCGGGAATTTTCCGACACCGTATCACTGTTCACGCGCCGCACACACCGCCGCAGGGAGAGTGAGCTGATGGAAAACCGGTTTGACCAGTTTTGAACCGGTTTGACCGATCTTAACCGGTTTGACCGGTCTGAACCGGATTGACCCGACCCGACTGTTGACCCGACCCGAATGTTGACCTGACCTGACCGTTGACCGTTGACTGTGACCGTTGACCGTTGACTTTCTTTGACCAAAACTTAAAATGGCTTTGACCGACCCTTAAACGACCATAAATCTTTTCCGAGTATACCTATCCTGATAGTTTTCGATGTGCCGAATCCATTTCCGCAGTCCGTTTCTCCAAATTCGAACCCGAAGGTCTTCAAATTGACGGTCAAAGTGGTTGACTTTGACTTTGACCAAGAATTTGAATTTTCGAAAAGTCATACTTTATGTTTTTCGACGTCCTGATTCCGATTCCGCAATCCGTTTGGCCAAATTCAGACTCTAAATCCTCCAAATTGATAGTCAAACCCGGAAAATGCTTATATACTTAAGAATTTTAGTTTTGAACAATTAAGTAAGATTTGGGGCTGATAAATTATTATTATTTGAAGGTACACGAGACTCTCCGGATCGTTCGACAGCTCGACCCAGCTCTTCTAGATCAGTTAAACCACGTATGCCAGTATTCACCCGTAAGACCCGTAAATTTTATGATTTTAGAGATTTATTTATGTTACCCATAAGTAATATAGTGTTACTACAAAATAGGTTCGAAAACTATAGCAGAGCGTGGTGAAACCAGCAATCAGTAGATCTACTATTTGAAACTATTATCGAGGTGTGTTCCCTATTTATTACTGAACTGTTTTATTTATTTTAATATGTGGTACACTGAATTCTTTGGTTATCGTATTGTTGATGCACCGATTTAATGTGATTATTTATGGATTATGACTGTTATCTGATATTTGTTTTGAAATGGTATATGATTACCATGTTTATGGATTTATGGAATTTATAACACGGTGCAATTGAATTTTTGGAATACGAATTTATAAAGTACAGCTCTGATCAAGCTGGAAAATTTTACGGACCTAATGTGACTCTTAGGTAGGCTCTGCGGCCCTGAGATCATTCTCGGGTAGGCCCTGCGGCCCTAAGATGTGTTCTTAGGTAGGCCCCACGGCCCCGAAATCTATCTTGGGTAGGCTCTCAGGCCCTAAGATGTTCCCTTAGGGTAACGCTTTGTAAAGAGATTTACTGCAGTATAATTTTATGGGACTTAATGGACTATGATTTGTTTAGTGTACCTATTGTAATTTTATGGTAATGTTGGGACACACTGAGCCTAGCTCACTTTTCGAAAATGTTTTTCCCCTTTCAGATACTGTTGGTTAGATACCCTGGATTGAGCACTTGGAGGATCAACATATCTCTTGAATTATATCTGATTGTAATGTTTTTACTTTGCAAGTTGACTTTATTTTGTTGACATGGACCTTATTTTAAAGTATGAGATTTTAATATGATGACACTTTTGCTATTACTATTCGGTTTATCGTGATTTGATTTTTAAGATATGTTTTAAATTAATTTATTACTTATTGGTATTATATTTACAAGTTGAGTTTTGATAGTATGATTTATTATAATTTCATGTCATTTATAATGTGATTTTACATTGATTGAATAACGATTTTGGAAAAATGTCTTAAAGAATCATAATGTGATCCACTAGACTTAGTCGAAACGCATAGGCCGGGTCTAGGGGGTTACACCACAAGTGACCAAAATATTACTTTTTTAAAGTTGGTAGGTGAAAGTGAACAAAAATGAAACAAAAGTGACAATATTGATTGTTTATCCTATATATTGTATTACTTTCTATTTTTAAAAGAGTTAATTGCACTATAAATCCCAAACTATCACCTTTATTTTAAATTGGTCCTTAAACTTTTAAATATTCCAATTATATCCCCAAACTATGATTATCCTTCTAATATGGTCTCCAAAATTTTAAACCATACACATTCATCCTCAAACTATGACCCTTATTCTATATCCAGTGGCGGATTTAGAAATATTTTTGAGGGTGAGTACAAATATACTAATAATAAAAAAAATTCTTATGGGATAGGCACAAATAAAATTTCAGGGTGGGCACCATTAGAGAAACTAACAACTAATATAAAGAAATTCGAATTTCAAGGTGGGCACGTGCCCACCTTGGCCTCCATGTACATCTGCCAGTGTCTATATATGTCTCTAAACTTTTGAATGTTCCAATTTCATCCCCAACATTTGAGTGATTTTGTGGGATGTTATTGGAATGCTCAAAAGTTTAGGGGCCAATTGAGAATGAGGGTTATAGTTTGGGGGTGAATTTTGAATGTTTAAAAGTTTAGAGATCAATATAAAATGAGAGTCATAGTTTGGAGATAAAATTAGAATGTTAAAAAGTTTAGGGATTAATTTAAAATAACAGTAATCGTTTAGGGATGTGTGGTGCCAATAGATCTTTTGAAAAATAATTTATTCTTTTCTAATTTAGTTAATCAATAAATAAAATTTTAAATGTTTGAAAAAATAGTTTTTAAAAAATAATAAATAGCAGTAGAAAAGAAGAATGACGACATACGGTGAGGAAAACAAGCGGGAGCAAATAGTCGACAACAGAGAAAAGCGTAGAAGAAAGACAAATAAAAACCAAAGAGAGAAAAGAAACAATTTTCACAATTTCAAAATTTTATTCTTTCTTTTTCTAATTAAAATTTCATTTGATTGATAACCGATTCCTCCCAAGCAAAGCAAACAAAAAGTGCAGCGCATACCAGTAGTGCGGGAAGGGGAAAAAGAAACCTGAATATTTTTTTATTCTTTTCCGGCGAAAAAAAAATTAATGGATGATGAAGTTGTCCAAAGAGTATTCCAAGAAGGAGGACGAGATTATTTCCAGCAACAACCTTCGACTTCTACCTCGTCTTCTTCTTCTATTCTCCAGTCTCTACCTCTCCATGTGGTCAGCCCCTTTAATTTTTGTTTTCAATCAAATAGCTTTATTTGTTCCAAGTTTTACGATTCTGGGTTTGTTGGGTACTTTTTTGTTTCTCCAATCAAATTTGGGTTCTGAAGAATTTTTTTCATTGGACTTCTTCTTTTTGGGTTATTAGGTTCGAAAAACAAGAACCGTAACGAATTGGGTTATCTTTTTTTTTAGCTACTTATTGAATCATGATGAGCATTTGGATTATTTGTACCTTATTCATTTACGTGTTTTTTGTGTTCTACACATGCGTTGAATTTGTGATTGTTCACGGTATCTCATTTACTTGATATCATTTGAGCTATGGTATGTCAACCTAGTAGTGCAAGTTTTTTATTGTTCCTTTATGTCATTGATATTTTCCCAATTTGCTGCTTGATAAATTGATGATTGTTCCTGTTATTAGAAAACTATTAATTCAGATGACATCATCCAAGTATGGAAACGGAAATCTCTAAAAAAACATGACGAGTATCATCCAAATGTTGTGCTGATTAGGGTTGAATATATGACTTAAGAAAAATTTAGTTCCATCTCAGTTATGTTAAACTTCTTCGCTTGTTTGAATTGATATTTTCCCAATTTGCGCTTTCTTCCTGAATTTTCTTCAAATTCCTTGGCATGTTTGAAAGATGTTACCTTCCTTTATTTTATTGTCCTAGACCTATATCAGTGTTGTTAGGGCATGCACCCTTGACGACACTAAACCATATTGTTGGCATGGTATGAATATATTTGTTAATGAATTTTGGTAAGCTTATTTTGTTGTTTTATTGGGTGCTTGTGATTTTATATTGTGGTGCTTTATATCCTAGGTTTCCAAATTTTCTATTTCTATTTCAACCTATATGATATTGAACATGTTTGCTCCCATATTAACTTCGTAGTTTTCTGTTGGTCGTTTGAGTTTATATGTTAATTTCCCGCAAAATTTGCTTTGAGTTTGATGAGCTTTTTGGTTGAAATGTTGCAGTCATTTGATCATGGCTATTATTTGCTTGTCAAATCCATACAAGAACTCAGAGAGAAAAAGGAGGGTCTTGTCACAGTCGGCATTGGTGGTCCTAGTGGATCAGGCAAAACTAGGTGAGCATTCTATTAATATTTCTGTTTAGTTTTCTGATGTCTCTCCCTCTACTAATTATCTATATATTTTCTTTTCAAAAGAAATATTGTAAGAATCAGGACACTGCATGCTTTCTTTCTTTTCTTATAATAATGTTTTTGGGTTTATATGGTGGTCTCAATTTCCAAAAGCTTAGCAGAGAAGGTAGCATCTGTTATTGGTTGCACTGTTATACCAATGGAGAACTACCGTGTTGGAGTTGATGAAGGGACTGATTTGGATTCAATAGATTTTGATGCATTGATCCAAAATCTTGAGGTTTGTACATTTCTTCACAATGGCACATTCATCTAATTTATTGCCTATGAAAAACATTTCTGTGTCTCGTATGTTTGGGGTTACTCTAAATGTATACATATTAAAGTTTGCCCTTTGTTTTCGGTTAAACTCAGAATTTGACAGAAGGGAAAGATACTATGATACCAGTGTTTGATTTCCAACAAAAGAAACATGTTGGCTCCAAACCTATAAAGAGTGCTATGTCTGGGGTGGTAAGAAAGTGTAAAATAGGATCTATTTCACATTATGGTTGCTTTGGACTTAATTTGCTCATACATTTTTTCAGGTAATAGTTGATGGTACTTATGCTCTGCATGCAAAATTGCGCTCTCTGCTTGATATTCGGGTCGCAGTGGTAATATCTTCTTTTCCCTAAGCGTTAGGTTTGATTAAGGCTTGTGCAGTTGTCAATTCTTTTCATCAGATTTTTTATATAGTTCTTCTGAATATTTGGGGTGATGCATCAGGTTGGTGGTGTTCATTTTAGTCTTCTTTCCAAAGTTCGATATGATATAGGAGATTCTTGCTCACTGGATTACCTTATTGATAGCATTTTTCCTTTGTTTAGAAAGCTCATTGAGCCAGACCTTCATCATGCACAGGTTTTTTTTCCCCTTTTGTTGTTGTTGTTTCTTTTTATGTTCTTACTTATTGGAATTTAACTGGCAATTCCTCCGTAATTGGGTTTATCATGCAGATTAGAATTAACAACAGCTTTGTATCATCATTTAGAGAAGCAATCTACAAGCTGAAATGCAGAAGTGAGGTATGTTATACTTAATATCTTATTGTTAAATAAAATTCTAAGCATGTCATGCATAAAAGATGTGATTATGATCTGTTTGGAGTTGAGAAAGAATGTACATTGCCATAAACACTCTCAAATTATCTTGATAATTTATGTTTTGTAATTTATATTATTAGTTTACATACATGACTTGGGATTTCTTTTGCCTCTTTTTTCTTAAGAATATGAAAGTTTCTCTCTCTTTCTCTCTCTCTCTCTCTCTCTCTCTCTCTCTCCCTTTCTCTCTCTCCCTTTCTCTCTCTCTCTCTCTCTCTCTCTCTATATATATATATATATATATATATATATATATATATATATATATATATATATATATATATATGCACCTTGGATATCTTCTCTTTGTGAAGTTTTGTACTTTGGACAGTGACTATTGCAGTTTAAGTGGTGAATATATATGCTGAATTTTTTATCTTTAATTCACTTTCAAAATTTATTTGCATATTGCAATTAGATTTAATTTGTAGCCATTGTGATATTACTTAAGGTTGAACGAATTCTTAATGAGACACATAAAAAGTAGGAAAGAGTGGACACCAAACATAGAAAACTCTACATATATTGCCCCCTGCCCAATAAAAAAATGAACAAAAAATTGATTAGTTATTTGTCTGCAGCAGTCCTGAGTGAACGTCCTTTTATTGGAACAAACCTCTAGGTATTCCATTTCTTTAATGCATAACATTTGAAGTTAACTTTTGTTGCATTGTTAATCAGCTGCACCCTTATAGTCTCATTTGAACATTATATTGCTATGGCAGACACCTGACGGACAGTCTTCCTTTCTCCTTAAAGATGAGGCACAAACTGATAAGTAAGTGGTTCTGACTATGATCACATGCAATCTTTATGCAGAGTGTTAGTTATATATGTCTCTATAGCCTTTTCTCTCTATGTTTTGGGAGTGAAATGAAAACTTCATTTTGCTTTAGTTTCATTGAGATGTACCTTAGACCCCCATCAGCAAGTGACGAAGCACGGATAAATGATTGGATTAAGGTGCGACAATCTGGTATTCGATATTATCTGTCACTCGGGGATCAGAGAATTGTGGACAAAAATTTCATTATCAGACCAAAAGCTGAATTTGAGGTCAGACATTTTGTCCTTTGCAGTTCTAGTGTGGCCATTGTTGTCAAACTGAAGTAGTGCTCCCAAATGTGTCATAGATGTTTTCTTTTCCTGTGTTACTGTCAAAACGGTTTTACATACCAACTAGTTCCATTTTAAAATCTATCAATTTATTCTCTTTTTGACTTTTATTACAGGTATTATTACACCCAACTTTTTAACTCTGTAAATTAAGGATTAATCAATGAAAAAAGTGTGTTTTTATTAGTATCAAAGTCGTTGACATTAATTGTTTTTGTCAAATAACTATGTGCAATAATACAACTGTATTATGCAACAATAGCTAATATGCAAAATGGTTAAAGCAAGGTTGCCAGCGATCAACACACCTTTATTGGTCCTCGATCTTGTTCTTCTGCATCATTTAAGGAGATACTGCATAACATTTTGATTTTTGGTAACGTATCTATCAAACCAGCTAAAAGTCAGCCCAATCTGTATTCTATGACCATTCCCCTGTAACTCTCTCGTTAGCTAAAAGATACGCTTATTTGTGTTGGAATCTTATATCATAAATCATCTGAAAGTTAGCTCATTGGCCCTAACTTAATGTAGTTTTATTTACCTTTTTTAATATCTAATCTTGAACAGGTTGGACGGATGACACTAGGTGGACTGCTGGCGTTGGGCTACAATGTTGTTGTTAGTTACAAAAGGGCATCAACATCAGTTAATATTAGCAGCCTTTCTCTGTCATTTGAAACAATTGACACACTTGGGGAAACCTTCTTGGTGCTTAGGGGCACAGATAGGAAAGTATGCACTTAATTTTCTTCCAGATGGAAACATCTGAGATTTTTGTTTGTTTGTTATATTTGCATCAAAGTATTCCTTTTTACCTTCATAAACTATTAATATAATTTGTATTGATTGGACAACACTCCAGTATAAGATGCTTTTGCTTGATGTAAGTTGCCTATCACGTGTGTATATGTTCCTGTTAGATAAATTTTGAGAAATGAGATAATCATAAAGGGATGTTTTCTTATCCACTAGGTATGCTTAATGAGGTTATCACCTAGCAGCTTTTCATTGAGAACTGACTTTGATATAAGCTAGATATGTGGAAAACAGAAATATAATTGGACCTTCTATGACCAGTTAAAAAGTTGTTGCTTTCGTTTGGTTCAGCTTTGAATGAGAGTGATCAGATGCCATTGCTTAAGTGTCAAACTGAAAACTCAAAATGAAAACCAGTTGATAAAACTTATGTTTGTTTTGGTTGCTATACTGTTGCATAGACAGTTGGAGCAGAAGCATTGAGATTGGGAATTACTGGACAATGGATCACTAAATCATATCTGGAAATGATTCTTGAAAGAAAAGGTTCTTCACTAGATGTGACCTCCATCAAACTGTCCTGTTAATGCAACTATTGTTGGTTTTCTTCTTTGCTCAACTCATTTCCACTTTCAGGTGTACCACGCCTCAATACTCCTCCACTTGTTTCTGCTACATCTATCTCTAGTAATCAAGAAAAAGTGATTGCAGCACCAAAGCCCATTCGTACCACTCCAAACCTTGTAAACCGGCTTGAGGATTTATCTCAACCTTGGACTCGATCTCCAACAAAATCCCAAATGGAACCTGTATTACCAACATGGCATTTTGCCTCATCAGATCCTTCACATGGTGGTTCAGTTATAGGTATGTGGACAGCTTGTTAACTTTTAAAGTAATTCTTTTTCTCAAGTACAATGGAAGAGTTTTAATTTAGTTCATGCATAGACTTTCTCATGAAGCAGCAACAGGTTCTTCTGCTTTCAGGGATACGATGAAACTTGCCCCAATGCCTGATTCACATGACTTGGATCGAGGCTTACTTCTTTCCGTGCAAGGAATACAGGTAATGAAGGAAGAGCTCTTATAATGAAATGGCTCATAATGTTAAATTGTTGTCAGAATACCAATCACTCGTGTCCAAAGCTGATGCCATTTTTTTCTTTGGTTCACTTGTTTCAGTTTTTGTTGGAGAATAAAGGAGTTCCAGTTATTGTTGGAATTGGTAATTTTGATAAATAGATATCTCTTCCTTTCTCTCTTTTAGTTGGTCTGTCATTCCTTTGCCATGTCTCTCTAATTTAATTTCTTGTTCAAACTTCAATAAAGTTCTTAATAATGTTTGGGTGTGTGAAGCTTAGTACTGACAAGGATAGTTCTTTTCATAAATTTAGAGTATGGCTGGACTTTTGGAAGTGTGTGGGCTATGGAACAGTTCTGTTTGGTTTTGTTGGATTGCTGCATAATTAATTCTCTGATAGTTATTAGCTTTAAATAAAATATGGAATGCAGTATTAATATACGTTTACTACGATTTAACTTTATTTGCCCTTGTGACGTTTTATGAATGTTAATTGTCATAGTTTAATTCTTCTGCCCCACTGAGGAAGCAATTTTGAAATCTAAAGTTTACCTTCCCGTTTTGTATTTGACTCTAAGTGCTTGCTCTATAAAAAGAAAAGAAGTTCATGTAAATTTTTGAAATCACTATTTATATCTTCTAATTGCTGAACTCATATGTTGTTATATCTCACCTGTATTTGCAGGTGGTCCAAGTGGATCTGGAAAGACAAGTTTGGCACATAAAATGGCAAATATTGTTGGTTGTGAAGTAGTTTCCCTTGAAAGCTATTTTAAATCAGAGCAAGTTAAGGATTTCAAATATGATGACTTTAACTCTCTTGATTTGCCTTTGCTTTCAAAGGTAAGGTTCAATATTTGTGTAATTTGATTAAGTTAATGCATGGCTTAAGGATTGAGGCCAAATGAGGCATTGAATTTCAGTTGAACCATTACAGTGACAAACCATGCATCTTGTAAACTGAACACTAACTAAAGGTTTGTAAGGATTATGATTACATGTCAACTTAATTCCACTTCGAGCTTCACTTATTGTTCATAACATGGTAACCGAATTCCCTGAATGCAAATTCCATTTTTTATTTTTGATTATTTAATTGATTTTCTCTCACACACTTCTAGAAAAGTTTAGTTTTTAACGACCATAGTTTTCATAAATTTTATCAAATTGTTAGACTAAGAAAATAATATTGTTAATTTTGGGGAAAAAAGAAAAAGATTCACAAGGTTTTTTATTTGGTATCTCAAATTGTCAGTTTCCATCAGCAAACAATGTTTGCTTAATTTTAGATCTAGGACAAAAAGGAAGTCTTTGTCATATATAATATATTTGTCCCTATGTATGTGTGATTGTAGTCATTTTTTTTAATTATGGAATATATTTGACAAATATTATTACTTTTTTCAATACTTTTAGGTAGTTCTGTAAACTATACTGAAAAATGTATTTTTAGTATTCATTTTTAACATATAGAAATGAATAATAATGAAATAATAATTTGTCTAAATAATGTTTGCATTTACATGTAAAAATGTAAAAATCTATTCTATATATTTTGTTTAACATATTAATTTCAATGTTGACAGTTTTTTTATTTGCCAATTCAGATTGAATTGAATATGTCCAAACAATTAGTAGTTATTACTATATAGTTATATAATTTATATTGTAGTTTATATTTTTATTTAGAATATTGATTATGTTTATCTATTTTTACACATTACTTGTAGCATATTTATAATATTTTAATGGTCACCTTTTATAAATTTGAAATATTCATTGTTACAGTTAGTGTATAAATAATGTTATATTAATATCATTCCTCTTATGAATATCAACAGGAGTTGAAACATTGTTTTCAAAATCCTTGGAAGCAATAATTTCTTGTTCCCAGCATCTCTAAAAACTGTGTTTCCTTCTAATTTTCGGAAAATAAAACCAGTTACCTAAAGTATTTTTTTATTTTCATTTTGAAATAGTGAAAACCAGATAAAGAAATTTACTCATTCAAGGAGAGCTTATGGTATCCAGATGTTGGTCTAAATCAAAGAAATGCAGATTATAAATATATGGCTTAACTTGGGGTGTGATGTTGATCAGAAAGTTTTACACCGATCAGTAATGCCTCACTGTTGTATTTTTGTCTTTTGCAGAACATTGGTGACATAAGGCATGGTCAAAAGACAAAAATACCTGTATTCAACTTGGAGACTGGTTCTCGTAGTTGTTTCAAAGAGCTTGAAATTTCTGAAGATTGTGGGGTGGTCTGTTACATATTTATTTCATTGTTGTCAAAGCTTGCCTCTTTTCTAAACTTATTTATTATGCTTATTGAAATATACAATGTAAATAAATATCAACTGCTTAGAAACTAAAAGATTAGTTCCTAAGGTGAAATATTTGTTCTTTCTTTATCCAAGAGGCCTGTTACTTTGTTTATAAGGGTTTCTTTATCATAGATATTACCTGATATTCTGCAACTGAAACCCTTTCTGGGTTGTTCTGCTTTGGATTCAATACTTTTTAACATTTCAAATTTAATTCATTTCTGTTGACCAGATCATTTTTGAGGGGGTTTATGCTCTGCATCCTGAAATCCGAAAATCCCTTGACTTGTGGATTGCTGTTGTAAGATGGCTTCCTTAATCTATCTTTACAGCTTGGTTTTCTCATATGATTCAAGTATTATCTTGTATTCTTCGAGAAAAGATAGGATGTTAATTGGTTGTTTTCTGCAAAGCCAGGTTGGAGGTGTTCATTCACACCTGATTTCTCGAGTTCAGAGAGACAAAAGCAGAGTGGGGTGTTTTATGTCCCAAAATGAGATCATGATGACAGTGTTCCCAATATTCCAGCAGCACATTGAACCACATCTTGTTCATGCACATGTCGGTAGTCTATGAATATCTCAAACTTTTATTACATGTTCTTATATGTATCAAAAAACTTTTGGCATTTCTTTCTGATTTTGTGTAGGCACACATGTTGATAAAGTATTTTATTGTGTATTTATTTAACCCATTGCGTAACCATATGTATTGTGTGTACATATATACTTGTAAAGGTATGGTTCTATGTGCAGTAACTCTGATAACGTGGTTAACTTTGTGTTGCTACTATTTTTTTTATTATTGCAGCTAAAAATTAGAAATGACTTTGATCCTGTTCTTTCTCCCGAGAGTTCACTGTTTGTTTTGAAGAGTAATAAACAGGTAAGTATCATAAAGTCTCTAGTCCAGAACTCATATGCCTCCCCTTGTTATTGACAATCCATTCCTACTTCTTCATGGTATCAGGTGGCCTATCAAGATATTTTGAATATCCTCGACTCTGCTAAGTTCTGTAGTTCTGTTCAGAATTTCATTGATATATATTTAAGGCTTCCCGGAATTCCTACAAATGGGCACTTAGCAGAGAGTGACTGTGTACGTGTCAGAATATGTGAGGGAAGATTTGCATTATTAATACGAGAGGTTAGTAGTGAAATTAATGTAAAATGTCTTTTAGTCCATGCAATTCAGTTGCTTTTTCTATAACTGTAGCAAATAGCTGATATTTGTTTTCTTCTCTGTTCTTTTTGTTAGCCAATTAGGGAAGGGAATTTCATCATTCAACCTAAAGTGGATTTTGACATTAGCATCAGTACAGTGTCTGGCCTTCTTAACCTTGGGTAAGTCAAGTATTTAATGTTTCATATTCACTACAATTTTGATAGTATGGATTGTTATTTTAAAATAGGTACTGAAGAAAAATATGGTTACTATTGCAATGTTAAAATCTCTCATTGTTAATTAGAATGAGATTTGAACAGACATTTCCCAGGGTTGACCCAAAAGGCTCGCAATTTTCCCCCTTCTCTAGGGAGAGAAGAGAGAGAGAGAGAGAGAGAGAGAGAAAGGGGGGGTAAGTGGTACATTTGAAAAATAAATTGATACTCTTCCATATGAGTTTCAAAAAATGAAAACACTGGTTGGATGTGTAGTTTAATGAGCGGTAGCTTTTGAGAATATGGCATAAAATGTGCAACTGTTGACACAGTTTGTTGGTGATGGAGCTCAAACATAAATGTCAGCTTTTGGTATAGATGGTAGCCTTGATTTTCAGAGTCTACATATTTGAAAAATTAGTAATCGTGCATATTCTGCCATTTTCAGGGTTTTTTTTCTTTTGAACTCGTTGATAAGTTCATGGTTAGTTGATTGGGTAATTATATATTCTTTTACCTGGTGTCAGGTATCAAGCTGTAGCCTACATTGAAGCATCTGCACTGATTTACCAAGATGGCAAGGTAATACGAGTTTTGGTTTTTGTAATACCCATTTTGTGTCGACATTAGTGGTTTTCAGAATAATAATTAATTGTTATATGTGACTTAAAGCGTAGGTTTCAAGCTTTTTCATTGTTTCTATTTAATTCTAATTCGTGATTAATGCCAAATATTCCTTTCTACTCTGGGCTATTTCGGAAGTCTACTTAAATTTGGTTGAATTTTGCTGTTAAACTTTGATTCTACTAATTCTGGAAAAATTAACAAGGATGTAATACTCTTTCTGTATTGTATTAATGTGAAAAATATGATGTTGGTTTTCTGGATTAGTCATCTGTCCTGTCTCTTTCTTCCGAGTATTCCTTTCGCGTGAGTAGATTTTCTCGATTCACTTGGAAAGTGTGAAGCATTTGGTGGCCAGATTATTATTCAATCTTCTCTACATTTATCTAATACCATTGAAAACCACACTTTTTTTAAATCGTTTTCCTTTTAATATTTTTTTGGATAGACTATTCTTGAAAATGAGTTGGTCTGTGTGGCATTTTCCCCTTGATTATTTAAAGATGGCATTGTTCTGCCTTTTAGATTCTTATTGAGGTTGATCATCTACAAGATGCCCCTAGCCCTTACGTACAGATCAAAGGGATCAATAAAGAGGCCGTGGCAGCCTCTGGTTCAGCATTGAAACTCAACGGCTCGTACACGACAAAGGTTTTGTCTTTGAATTGTGTGAGATATTTCAGTATTTCTGCCATTTTGCCTGTTTATTAAACTTGCTACATCTTATATATCTTGTAGAGTTATCTCCAAATAATTTTGGAAGGATTACCATTGGTGGAAAGAAATTACAGTGGAATTCACACTCATCAAGCTGCAAGGTTGCAGGAGCTTGTGGAGTCTATTCAATCCCAGGTGCTCATTGTTAAATAAAATTAAGCAGTCACACATATTTATATATTGTATAGCCTTTAATGTAAGCTTCTTCTTATATTCCTCCTGAATTAGAGTCGGAATAATTATGGCAATCCGTGTTGGCAATCTGCATGGTTATGTGATTTAGAATCTGCATCTCAAACAAAGAAAAACCTTTCTATGAAATGGTATTGGAAGTATATGATTTGAAAATCAGGTTATAAACATGTAAATGTTATTTGCATATTCTTGATAATTTGAGCACCACATGTTAATGAAAATAATAGTTTCTTTTATGCATCAGAAATGGCCGTAATCGATGTTCATAACAAATCTCTTAATTTTTAATAATGTTTTAGTGGACCAAACAGGGTGGCGGTACACCATCAGAATCCTCACATAGCAGGGAGGCTTCTCCAATGGATAGCATAATAGAAGACATGCAGTCCCGGATACGGAGGCTTGAACGATGGCAAACCATCAATACGGTACTCGCCTTACTGTTTCCTGAATTTCTTTCCCGTGCTTGATTGCTTCGATTTCTTCTTCGCAACAACCATGATCAGCAGCTGATGGAACCAATCACGTACCTACTTAATTGTGCTTGGTTTTGCTGCAGGTGCTGTGGACCTTTTTGATGTCTGCTCTTGTTGGTTATTCTCTTTACCAAAGACAGCGACAATAACAAGACTTCCTATAATCTACTACCCAAACTGACCCAAAAAAAAGTCCTCACAAATTACAGGCTTAAAGAGATTACAATTCAAATAATATTATTGCTTTAGTTCCTCCATTTGCATTCTGTAAATACCAAATTATAAACTTACGGGTCAAAAGTGGAAACTCTCTTCTCTTGAGCAATATAAGTGACACTATTTCATGAAATTTTTGTAAGTTTGGTTTACTCTACAAATTGCATGGGAGACAGGTAAGGTCGTATGGAATATATTTGAGCTAAGAGCATGGTTTGAGGGTTAATTAATGCAACAATGGTATTGCACATTTGGTTAACAAATTTATTATTTAAAATGTAATTAGAGGATTAGCTTAAATAATCTAATGTATTTTATATTAGAAAAATACATGCTCAACGATTGTATAAGAAAAGAAGGGTAACCTAGCTATTTGGTTTCTACTTATTACTTAATTTCTATTTTGATCGTCTAACTATTTTTTTAAATCATATCTAATGTTATGTTTTGGTTTTATTTTGTTCACCTGTCGTTAAAACATTAATAATGATATTGACAAGATATTTTTTAATTAGTTTTTTAGTGTTGATGTAGTATTATCTTATGGTGATATGTCACCATCATCATTGGCAATGGGTGACTAAAACCTAATGTTTGGTATGATTATGAAAAAAGTAATAGTTAGGTAGTCAAAACAGAAATTAAGTGATAGGTAAGTGACCAAATAAATAGTTTACGCAGAAAAGAATATTAAATTAAAGGGTAAAGTATAGTAATGATCATTGAACTTTTCTAAAGCTTTCATTTAGGTCCCTACTTTTAAAACTTACAATACAGTCCCTCAACATTTAGTTCATTTACAATATGGTCCCCCACAGTTACGTCGGGGAACATATTGAAAACAGACTAAATGTTGAGGGATCATATTGCAAACGGACTAAATGTTGGGGGATTATTTTGTAAGCTTTAAAAGTTAGGGGACCTAAATGAAAACTTTAAAAAAGTTCAGTGACCATTACTATACTTTACCCTTAATTTTATTTTTCTTTAGTTTTTTTATTTTAAAGTAATGTTTAATATAATGTTTTGACTAATATTTTTAATAAAATAATTACAATTGTAAGTAATTCCTTTTAATTTTTTAACATTATTAATTTCTTAACCTTGTGGTCGTGGGATCGAGTCCCACGGTTGACAATTCATAATTCCGACTGTCGGAGGTCTTTCACGAAAGCTGCTCTCAACCTGGCGTTCGAGACAACCTACTACCTTACCTCCCCTCATCCCATTACATATGGAAATAGGGTTAGTTAATAATAAAAATAATATGTAAAACATTAAAATCAATTTTTTTTAAAAAAAAATATTAAAATAAAACAAGAACATGAAATTCCCAACATTTGCCACTACCATCAAATTTTAAAAATGCTAAAAACAGACCACCTTTCATTGTTGAAATACATTAAGCATGATAAACAAAGAGGAGCTAAAAACATACCTGCTGCTACTACTACTGACTCTCCCTCTCACCAAACTCTCCATCTTCAAGCTCCTTGGGATCGGCCTCTCTACGGGAACCGTTCCGATGGTCTCGCCTATGTTTCTTATGCCTGGTTTCGCTATCGGATTCGGGCATCGAGCATGCTGAAGAAGTAACGGTCATTAAAGAAGTATGTCAAAACATGGTTGCAGCTGTTTCGAACATGTGAATGGGAGTGAATATCATACCTTTTTTGATCTCCTGTGATCACTGCTATGCCTGTGAGACTTGGTCCGATCTTTTTCACTTTCATTCGTGTTATCCACTGAACTTCGATGTCGTTTATGATTTCTCTTATTGTCGTCTTTTCCTGACCGTTTATGTTCGTTTTCATCGTGAAATTCACCTGTACCAACATGCGCATCTGAAGGTCCCTCCCTCGAGTGTTCCTCCTTCTCTTTCGTATCCTCTCTTTATGTCCCTTCCATGCTTCGACTTCCTCCACTCCCTCTCTTCTCTCTCTTTTTCTTTCTTTGCCTGCAGCATAGAAAAACCCCATGTCAAACATGTACTCAGACACGGGTGAGGAGATATTTGATTCATTCAGTTTCGCGATCATTTACAGAAAACAAAAATCGACGAAGAGGGCAGTGGGCAAGGAGAGTATCACTAACCTCAAGCACACGCAAAGAATAGACTAACGATAAGCCACACATTTAAGATTAAACCGAAATTCAAAAGAAAATCAAATGATTCGACTTGATTCAAATCGATCTTGTCTTCCTTCCGTCTTCGTTCCTTCTCTTTTGCATCTCCTTTCAACTGTTTTACATATTCCTCAAATATCTCCTTGCAGGAGGCTTCATCCCTAATGGAACTACATATGAACATTAAAAAATTTAGCTTCGAGTAAGCAATTTTTGATGGAAAATATATAGAATGATCAAAAGAAATTTTGAAAGTTATATGCAAAACGTCATGTAATAAGCTTCTAGGACCTGAATTCTGGACTGTTTTCAAGAAGATGTTTGCACTCCTCCCATGCTGAAGATGAAGTGATTTCCTGCAATAGGTTAAACAATCATATAGTTGAATAAAAAGAAATTTCCTGGCTATCGAACCATTCGACCAAAATTTTAAAAGATGTAGCCTAACACCTTCACAGATTGCAATAAATCAAAGAAGCCATCTGCAAGACGTTTGCGCTTCTTTGCTTCTTTCTCCTCCTCCTCCTTCTCCTTTACCCTTTTTCAAGTAAGTCCTCAAAAATCAGCTGCAATTGAAGATGGCCCATTTAATTAAGGGTAAAGTATAGTAATGGTCACTGAACTTTTCTAAAGCCTTCATTTAGATTCCCCAACTTTAAAACTTGCAATACAGTCCCCAACATTTAGTCCATTTACAATATGGTCCCCCAACAGTTACGTCGGGGACCATATTGCAAACGGACTAACTGTTTAGGGACCATATTGCAAACCGACTAAATGTTTGGGGATTGTATTAAAGTTTTAAAAGTTGGGGGAACTAAATGAAATAATTAGAAAAGTTCAGTGACCATTACTATACTTTACCCTAAAATAAAGTAATTTTCTTTGAAGCCAAAGATAGATATTTTCAAAGTTTTACTCTTTCAACAAATTTATGAACGGGCAATAGAGTATTCTCCGAGAATCAAGGTCGGGAAGAAAGAGTAAAATCTTATCTATTCGCGAGAAAAGACGCCTCGCTGCTCCTTCCTTTCAATTTTCATATTCTCACATCTGAATTTATCTCTTTTCTTTTTATTATATCTCATAAGCCAGTCCCAGATTAAGAATGGTATTCTTTGTTTCTCTTTTATTTCTTCTGTAGTCGGCATTCATGGTGAAATCCCATTTAACTTACTGAGTTGGCTTATATAATTTGGAGTTTTGATTAACTTCAGAATGGATGATTTCATTCGTTTTCTTGGTCATGAAATTTGAATGTCATATATAGTCCATAGTATTAAATTTCTCTTCAGAATGGATGATTTTATTCGTTTTCTTGTTCATGAATCTTTCCCCATTTGAGTAGCTGTTTGGTGATTTTAATTGTGCCTGATCTTTATTTCTGATAACTTTTGCAATTTGTTTACTTGATGATTTTGTTTTTTGTTTTAGTAAGATGGAGAAGGGTGATAGAGGGAAAGAGCATTCTAGGGATCGGATTAGTGAATTACCTGACGCAATTCTATTGATGATTCTTTCCTTTTTGACCATTAAAGAGGTAGCAAACATATGCTTTCTTTCCAAGAGGTTGAAAAATTTGTGGCCCAACATTTTTTCTTTGAACTTCGATGCTTCATCCACATTAGCCGAGCTTCGGAGGAATGACAAATTAAGGAAAAATAAGAGATCTTGGTACATAAACTAGGTAAACCAAGTACTGGAATTGCACCAAGGAATCACTTTAAATGAATTTAGGGTTTGTTTTTATTTGGATTGGACTTGCAGACATATATTGATACCTGGTTTTGTTTCGCTATATCGAAGAGGGTTCGGAAACTTGAACTCGACTTTGAAGAAGTAGCAGAGGAAACTTGGCCGCCAGGTTTGAGATCCTTTTCTTTAACCAAAAGTTGTTTCGACTAAATTCGAGCTCCTCCCCGGATTATCTTGCATCGGATCGTTGAATTCCTTGTGTTTTAGATTTGTAAAAGTTAGTGGGGTGGTTCTTGAGCACTTCCTTATACACTGTCCTCTGCTTGAAAAGTTAGTTGTGGAGTGGTCAAAAACTCTAGTGAGTCTTAAAAGTTTCTAGTTCGTCACCTTTATGGCTGCGATATTTGGAGATCCGATCTTGCCTCACTTTGCAAAACTCGAGATTTCTGCTCCCAATTTACGGACGTTTCGGTATTATGGACAAAAGATGGCATTGTATATTGAAAATGCTCCTGTACTGGCTGATGTGCTTATATGTGGGAACTTAGATGATGAACCGGCTTTTTCTTTTTGCCCTCTTTCAAGCTATCTTGGTCAGTTAGAGACTCTTACATTGGAGATGAGTGCTGTAATATTCATGTTCTTCAATCTCGATTTTGTTTCCCCCTTTGGGTTTCTCATTATAAATATCTTTTGCAGTATAATATGATGTTTCCGAAATTCCCTGAATTGACAAAGCTTAGGCACTTAGTAGTAAGCGCGTATGGTGGATATGATGACGATCTCCTTGTATTGACTTTCTTGATCGATGCATCTCCTTCCTTGAACAAACTATCGTTGGAGGTAATCTCCAAATTTTTCATCAGCCATTCCACAAGAAATACGTTGATCACTTAACCTTCTCCATCGTTTCCTATTTATAGTCTATAATGTTGCGTTTATCATTTTGCAGTTAAAAATATGGAGGTCTTCTACATACCATCATGCACATAGTTCTAGTAGTGTAACCGGAAAGCCTATCCCTAGTCTTAAAGAGCTAGAGATTGTCGGGTTTAGAGGTTTTAAAATCGATGTCAATTTCGTTACGTATCTACTCGAGCATGGAGAAATGATCGAGAAGATCACTATTAATTGTTGCCATCCAAGTTGGATTGGGCAAATATGGGATTGGGAGTTTATCAAAGAAAGAGAAAGGCAAGAGAGCACGCTCTACAACTCGAATCAAAATCATCTCCAACAACTGAATTTGTAGTTGTATAATAAAGTTTGTTCAGCCTTGCAAGTTGATCCTTGCTGGTTCACAGGCGCCTTTATGTTACTCGAATCGAGTCCACCGTCCGATGGCCATCTAGTGTTATTAAAGAGGCTGAGGCTGGTGTTTTGGCCAGGTTTAGGGGTCCCCAAGTTCAAGGTTGGGGATTAGAGGGTACTCTAATTTCCAATGAGAATTTTGCAGGGTTTTAATTGAGCTGAATAATTATTGGAATCTGAATTATTGTTTAGTTGAAAATTGCAAATAGAATTTTGTTGGTTTCATTGATTGAATTATTAAGAGCATAAGTTTTGTTTCAACAAGGACTTTGTTACAATCTGCTTGCTCTCTGGTGGGGTAGCTGTTGATTTAACAATGAAATTATTATTTATTTTTTGCTTGTATGTGTCAATTCTTGTGCTGATTAGGTCTGGTACTTGGTCTTTAGGACCAGTATTCTTCAAGTCAACGTTGGAATGAAAATGATGTAATTGGTTGATTAGACCCCTATTCCATTTTTTCAATAAAAGATTTAGATAATATAAATAAAATGTTTAATCTATCAGCCACACAAGAGTCCTGGTGAGAACTGCGGCTCCTTCCTTTCTAATCATATTATCCACTTGGAATAGTTTATTCGTACTACGGATAAGTATAGAAATTAATTTATCAATAATATTTATATATTCTACAAATGTAATTAATTAAACTTAAATCCTTTGAAAGAATAACATTATCTTAATACTATCTTTTACTATTAAAATCATTTAATGAATTTCAAATCAAAATTATACGCATCATTTGAAAAATACTTAATGAACTAACTCTTATTTAGATATAGAGACAAGTGGAATTCAAATACTATTTATCTATATGTTTTTCATTTTTTTCCTTTAAATTATAAAATAATGAAAGTTTAACCACATTTAAATTATGTTAAAATTTATAAAGATACATTCAAATTGATTTATATTTGACTTCAAGTATAATTAATTATTTTATATTTATATTTATATTTAATTCAATTATATGTTAAATTTAACATGAATTCATTATTATTTTTTATTTAAAAAGTTGGTTTAATGGTGCATGAAATCCTTAAACTTAAGAAAATGAATTAAGTCTCTAAATCCTTTTTCACCCAATTAAACTTTAGAAATTCTATCCACTCACATCTTTGACTGATATTGACCATTAAATTTGTTATACCTTCTTTGATAGGCCTCCTACAGCCTCATAGTTTTTGCCAAGTTGAATAGATTGAAACTTGTTAATATTTCATTAGTCAACTACAATGCGTAGATAAAACCTTTGACAGACTTATCAGGACAAAATATGAAGTCTGACTAATTTATTTAGCTCATCAATTTAATAATAATTATAGTGATCCTATGATTAGAACAGAGACTAACACATTTTAACACTTTATTCTTCTTCGTGATCAACCCTCTGTTGCACAAAAACATAGACCAAAGATTATTTTTTCATCGGTCACGGTTCTTTACCTAAATTATAAGAAATAAATCATTTATGATCGATAATTTTTTTTATTTCTATCAACAATTAGTGTGATGAGCGTGGACAAATATGATTGACAAAATCAATAGATATTTCCCAAAAAAATCAGAACAATTGTTTTCATCCCTTGAACTTCTTCTAAGAACTCACCTCAGGCGATGGCCATCTCGACTGGTAACATCAGATCTGACCCGCAAAAATTACATGCGTGAGCGAACTGTCAGCTAAAAGTGAAGGGAACGAACACACGCGTCCCACTTATCAAAATCACCTCTCCCACCAGTGCTGGGGTGATGCGCAGTTCGGGCTCCGGGCTGCTAAGGTTGAAGTAGCTCGAACACGTGGATGAAAAAGATGGTCATCCCATCCATTAAGCGTCGTTGGCATCGTTAGTAAATGAGGCCTCTCTAGAAGAAGCATTAAAGACAACTATCATGAGAGATCGTCACTGCCATGAAGCTGCAATGCTCGAGAGCCTCCCTCCTGAGAAACGACTAAACTACTCCAAACACAGGTCATTTATGGAACAAAATTTAATTTGGGTATATGATTATACTTAATTTTTTTCTTCACTTGATAGAAAACTCTAATTTTGTCTCTTTTCCCTTTATCATTATCGGTCTCTTTTCTTTTTCATTTTTATAATCGGTGATGATACTAATCTTAAGAGTTAATCTTTGACCTTCTATATTAATTGTTTTTTATTTTTATTTTATTATATCATATATATATATATATATATTATTTTTTTAATAACTCTATTTTATGACACATTTTCTATATTTTTATGGTATATTTTCCAATGCCTTTTAGCACGTTTTTAGTCGTTTAGTAGTCATTTTTGTTTATCATTTTTCTCATGCTTCGACTTGGCATCGCTACGAATGATCAAAATTATACTTATTTGTTATCATGTTGATCTTTCCTAGTTTAGACTCTCGAATTGGATTTGGATACTCGATTTGTGTTTGTGGATGGTTTTTTCATGTCGTTCTACTATGATTTACGATTTATTGGCGATCTTTCAATAACTTAATCTCATTTTGTTGTTCATTTATCGATGCGATCAGAACTATTCGTGCCTACCTTTTGTTCGAGTTTATTTAGTTAGATTTTTTAACATTTTCATTATATAATCCTTGTATGATCTTAAGTAACTAATTTCGTGTGTTATTCATTATAAAAAAAATTCCTTATTATATACTATTGTAGTTTTAAACATTTATTGTAGTTTAATTTTTTTTACTTTTAATAAAATTATTGGGTTTTACCTTTTTTCTTCTTTTAATTAGTTAATATTGAATTTGTTATAATTTAAATAAGAGAAAATAACCTCAGTGACCAAAAATCCCATATAATATACGATTTTAACCAACTTTTTCCGGATTTGCCAAAATGACCAACAAAATCGCAATGCGATCGCTAATTCGCAACGCGATCTCCATTATCGCAAATTCGCGTTGCATTTTCGCAATGCGATAGTTGAAAATCGCATTGCGATGGTCTACAGTATCGTTGCGATTTTCCCAATTCGCAATGCGAATAAGTAAATCGCAACGCGAATTGGGAAAATCGCAATGCGAATAAGTAAATCGCAACGCGAATTGGGAAAATCGCAATGCGATACTGACTATCACAATGCGATAATAAAAAATCGCAACGAGATACTTACTTTCGCAACACGATACTGACTTTCGCAATGCGATTTACATAGCGCCATTCGTATTAACGCGTATTTTTTTTCAAATTCCAAACACGTGTTTTTTCTTAATAAATCGGAAAATGAACCGTCCACAGTAATCGCAACTCATAACCTCAAACCCAAAAACACAACACTCAGTCCCATCTCTATCTCTCACTCTCTACGGCGAAATCCGTCCCCATCTCCGAAGATTTCCGTCCCCATCGCCGGCGAAATCCCTCACAACCATTCACATTCAAAAATCCCTCACAATCATTCAGAAATGGAAAATCAACCTCCGAGGGTTAGTTTTTTTTATTTTTATTTTGAAATTTTTGCATTATTTTAGGTTTTTCATATTGAGATTGATGATAAGTTTACTGGTAATTTCAATAATAGATTAACCATTTCACTTAGATTTCTTATTAAATTCATTCGATTGCTGCCAATACTGCTACACTGTTTAGCCTGTGAAGTTAGTATTTGTCTTTGCTTTGTCTTTTGGTTGAAGTAATGCAGAAGAAGAATAGTTTCGAGAATGAAAATCGCAACGCGGAAATAACTATCGCAACGAGATAATCGCAACGTGAAACCAAAATCGCATTGCGATTTTCATTTCGCGTTGCGATTTTCATTTCGCGTTGCGATTTTTATTTCGCGGTTGTGATTTTCATTTCGCGTTGCAATTGTCTGGTCGCGATAGTCATTTCGCGTTGCGATTCTCTCGTTGCGATTCTCATTATCTCGTTGCGATTTTCATTTCAACCAAAAGACAAAAACAGTGTTGCAAATTTTAGTTTCAAGAATAAACTACTATTTATGTTTATTGTTTTGTTTTTGGTATATCTTGACAGTGTAATTTTTGGTATATCTAACTTGGTATGTTTATTGTTTTTTTGTAGAAATTTTTTTCGGCTTCATTGACATTAAGGAATAAAGTTAGCCTAGCCACTACAATTGCTTCGAAGCTTTCACCTGCACAAAGAAAATTGTTTGAAGAAACCTGCTTCGGGCCATGGCTGAGAGTACAGCATCCGGGTGGAGATGCTAGTTTGACCCATTTGTGGCTTCAGACCATGACTAGCGATCTACCCGACAGTATACAACGTGGTGAGGAAGAGATATGGTTTCATTTTCCACCGGCGTATACTTGTTTTGGGCGGAAAGAGTTCTGCTTAATCACTGGTCTACGATTCGGACACGATGATGTAGGCCGGTACACTCGTCATATCACTCGCCCATCATGGTTATCCAGGGTTTTTCCTGATGAGTCAATAGAGAAGCCGAACTTACACGTCGACGACATGAAGAAATTGTTTAATAAGAAAGATGGTTTTACTCGGATGAATGACGTCGATGTTGTCCGAGTATGCCTTCTACTACTTTTGTATGCCGGCTTTCTAGGCAGAGAGGCCAGACAACCTATTCCTCAGGAGCTAATATTATTGGTAGAGGACCTAAATGCATGGAATCTGTTTCCGTGGGGTTCGTATATATGGAAAGCTACCTGGACTAAGTTGTCGTCTGCCTTTGATGACCGCAAAAGTTTGCGGGGCGATGGGTCGAAATACACTTTGTCAGGCTTTGTTTGGGCCTTTAAGGTAAGAATTTCTATATAATGTTTTCAAAATTATAATTAATTATTTAACAATTACTAATGTTTGTTATTATATTGTTTGTAGATTTGGATATTCGAGGCTTTCCCCAGCATGCGGACATATGCATTAAAATCCTCAGATGATATTCCTAGGGCTATTTCCTGGAAGAGGAAACGTATGTTGGATTGGGAAGACTTAATACCATATGCGACAATAAATCATGTAAGTTAACACAAATACTATCATATATAAACAAGTTATTAATAGTAGACGTTTAACTTTGTTTTAGTTTTTATATATTTAGGAGGCCAACACTCCATTAATGAGACTGACACCCACTGAGGCTGAGCTTGCCACTGATTGGTGGCAAGCTAGTCAGCGTTTTTTTGATGGCACGAATGATGAGCAGCCTCCACTTCCTCCACTTCGAGAGCC